AGAAATGGCACTCGAAATATCCGCCGCTCGTCACTTCGAATTTTTGTAACAGGTTATATTAGTTTAATACAGAGTATTGTGATACATAGTAAGTTCCAAGATAGCGGAGAAAGGTTCGTGTTGAGAATAAACCCAGTTTGGAAGTTTCTAGTCTCTGAAAACGCACCAGCAAACCGCCCTGAGTCATTCACTCAGGAGTTCCCTGAATTTCCTCCACAGAAAACCATAGAGACGTGTTGTAACCCTCATCCTGGGTTTGGGTTACATTATTGTATCTAATGGCTCTACTACAACCTATGCCGAAAATTTAAGAATGTTTACAGGTTGTCCGGCATCGCTGCCTTTAGCTCTAGTACTATAGCCCGCGGATAGCTGCCGCAGGCTGCGGGGTTCAAGGATAGAGAACAGGGGTCCTAATAAAACCAATGTCATTTACATCAATATAAATATAATATTATATCAATATAATAGGTTAGGGTTATGGTTAGGGTTATTGTTAGGGTTAGGATTAGGGATAGGGTTAGGCACATTGGTTTTATTGGGACCCATGTTCTCTATCCTTGGGCCGGCTGCAGCAGCTATCCGCGGGCTATAGTACTAGAGCTACGCTGCCCTGTACTAGGCTGTAGGCGAGTAGCCTGGGCTGTACTCTGTAGACTGTAGACCGTAGCACAAATAAAAAATCACCCTAGCCGGCAACGTTAACTTGTAGGCCGACCAGCTAGAAATTCTCATTTAAATCACCATAACATTACCAAATTGGCCCACTTATGGAATTAACACAAATGTGGTATTAACACCCCTTATGTAGTTAACACAAACGATCGCAATACCAAAACTCATTGACATTGGGTGGCAAAATTAAATCGATTATTGTGTTCAACTACTTTACAAATATATTACTGTAATTATTGTGTATATCTTGTTGTGTTTCACTCATAATGTGATCACTATAAGCAGTTGACTTACCTTCTCCTTACAGCAGTGCTCGAAATAAGAAAAAAAATGTGGTTGTCCTGCGGACAACCCCAGCATCAAATCGGGTTGTCCGCAACAATTTCTGGTTGTCCCAAAAAATATCTCCAAATCTCCTATTTTCAATCACATAATAATATGATCAGAAAACACCCAAAAAACAGTGGCGTAGCCAGGATTTTTTAACAAGGGGGGCCAAAAACAGCGAACTGCGCAAAATAGTGGATGACTTAATATTTAACTGGCTCCTTCGCCTCCCTCTCCACACCCTACGGCTCCTCTACCTCTCAGCTCTGCAATCTTTGTTTTGGGCGCCATTTTTGTTCATTGTTCTCTGCTCCCAAGATATGTAATTGTTCAATGGCGGGTCTAGGATTCCAAGGAGGGGGGACGGCGCTTGTGAGCGGGCACAATGTATTTCCAAGTGGAGGGGTGGGCAGGTTGCACGGGGTTGCAAACCGCCATTTTTCGTTGCGCAGCGCTAGCGCGGTTTGCAACCTCATGCAACCTGCCCACCCCTCCACTTGGAAATACATTGTCTTTGCTTACTCCCTGGAAATTGCCATAGTATGTTCTATAGCCCTGCGGCGGAGCGGAGGGCTATAGTTCTAGAGCTATAGTGACACTAGCTCTAGTAACTATAGCCCGCATACGGAACGCAGCGGCAACCGTACGCGGGCTATATATAGTTACTACTACTAGAGCTATAGTGACACTAGCTCTAGTACTATAGCCTGCGTACAGTTGCCGCTGGCTGCTGGTGGCAACTGTACGCGGGTTATAGTACTACTACTACTAGTACTAGTACTAGTAGTAGTACTAGTAGTAGTAATAGTAGTAGTAGTAGTAGTACTAGTAGTAGTAGTACTAGTAGTACTAGTACTAGTAGTAGTACTAGTAGTAGTAATAGTAGTAGTACAGTATAGTACTAGTAGTAGTAGTAGTAGTACTAGAGCTATAGAAACGACAATCGTCACGTACTGCGACATTTACTTAGCATTTTATAATTATCAAAACCTTTTTTGTGTCCTCGTTTTGGTTTCTTCTTGTCCTTCCGTTTCGTTAACTTTCCCATTATTAGACACTACTATAAGTATAAGCATATGGTATAACTATAAGGATAAACACTTACGACTCTATAACCGCTTTTCAACGTTTTAACAGTAACACACGTGTTGTTGTTTTGATTGTACTGTAATTGCGTATACACGTACTCAGTTACAGTGCTTCCGTATGCTTAAATATAATATTTTTATTGTCATTCTAAGTTAAAAACAACACAATATTATAGTACATTTGTTTATTTCTTATGATAAGTGCAAGTTTCTAACGTATTTTAAATCATAGTATTTAAATTGTATACGCAACACCCGATTAAGCTTACAAACCTAGACTGGTACCCGGTCACACCTCTCGGCTTAGTTACTCGATGGGGAAGTTGATCGAGTAATCGAGGTGGGAGCGAGTACCAGTCTACTACAAACCTAGTGCCTGTCTGCTCTCTGGCGGTGGATACTTGAAACAGTTGCCAACACCGCTAAACATACAAACACTAAACAGCTGGAGATACTAGCATTTTTTTAGTTGTAGTAAACATTCACGTAGAAGTAGTAATCGAAGCGCGTGGATGATTATGGATATCAGTTTGATAGACATAGTTTCACTGCTTGCTACAGTAACGACGCTTTCGTTGGCTCTGACAGGGTTGTAAGTACAATTAAAAAGTTGCATGCACGCAGCAATGCCAATGTTCAACTTCACGATGTTGTCATATTTCGTAGCCGGTTAGGCCCACGTACCGTTACGTATTCCGTTTTTTCATTAAAAAAAAGCCAAAGCCAGGAACACAGTACTCAGTAGCTCTACCGCCAGTGTGGCCCCTTCACTCCCACTAAAGCAAATGGCTCTATAGATACAATAATATAACCCAAACCCAGGATAGGGTTACAACGCGTCGCTATGGTTTTCTGTGGAGGAAATTCAGGGAACCCCTGAGTGAATCACTCGGGGCGGTTTGCTGGTGCGTTTTCGGAGACTAGAACTTCCAAACTGGGTTTATTCTCAACACGAACCTTTCTCCGCTATCTTGGAACTTGCTATGTATCACATTACTCTGTATTAAACTAATATAACCTGTTACAAAAATTCGAAGTGACGAGCGGCGATTATATACTGAGGCGTCATTTCTGTTGACCTGTGACGACTTCGTTTGAAGGAGCGGATTCACATGACCAATATGGAGGGCGCTCGCGTTTGCCGATCGCTATGCGCATGGCCATTGGGAATGCGTACGTCAACAGTCAACAGGAAATGCGCTCGAGATAATATCCGCCGCTCGGTCAGGCTTCGATTTTTGGTAAGCAGGTTATATGTAGTTGTATATACAGAGTATTGTGATACATAGTAAGTTCAAAGATAGGCGGAGAAAGGTTGCCCACGTTGTTGAGAATTGAAACCCAGTTTGGAAGTTTCTAGTCTCTTAAAACGCACCAGCAACCGCCCCTGAGTCATTCAACTGGGGCTTCGCGCCTGAATTTCCTCACAGCAGAAAACCATAGAGACGTGTTTGTAACGCTATTCTTGGCGTATTGGAGTACATTATTGCCATCTAGATGGCCTCTACTACAACTTCCGAAAAATTTAAGAATGTTTACAGAGTTGTCCGGGGGCCATCGCTGCCTTTACTCTATGTACTATAGCCCGCGGATATGCTGCCGCAGGCCTGCGGGGTTAAGGATAGAGAAACACGGGCTCCTAATAGAAACGCAATGTCATTTACATCAATATAAGATTATAATATATATCACTATAAAGAGTTAGGGGCTTATGGTTAGGGTTATTGTTAGGGTTAGGATTTAGGATAGGGTTAGGCACATTGAGTTTTATTGGGACCCATGTTCTCTATCCTTGGGGCGCGGCTGCCAGCAGCTATCCGCCGGCTATAGTACTAGAGCTACGAAATCGCCGCCTGTAGCTAGCGCTGTAGCAGCGAGTACGCCTGGGCTGTACTCTGTAGACTTGTAGACCGTAATCCACGCACCCAAAAATATAAAATCAGCGCCTAGCCGGCAACGTTATTTGTAGCCGACCAGCTAGAAAATTCTCATTTAAATCACCATAACATACAAATTGGCCCACTTTATGGAATTGAACACAAATGTGGTATAACACCCCTTATGTCACGAGTAACACATAACCGATCGCAAAGTAGCCAAAACTCATTGAACATTGGGTGGGCAGAAATTAAATCGATTATTGCTTGCAAGCTACTTTACAAATATATTACTGTAATTATTGTTGTATATCTTGTTGTGTTGTCACTCATAATGTGATCACTAGTAAGCAGTTTGAACTTTACCTTCTCCTTACAGCAGTGGCTCGACAAATAAGAAAAAAGAATGTGGTTGTCCTGCGGGACAACCCCAGCATCCAAATCGGTTGTCCGCACATTTCTGGTTGTCCCAAAAAATATCTCCAAATCTCCTATTTTCAATCACATAATAATATTGATCAGAAAAGCAGCCAAAAAAACAGGGCGTAGGCCGAGGATTTTTAACAAGGGCCAAAAACAGGCGAACTGCGCAAATTAGTGGATGACTTTAATATTTAACTGGCTCCTTCGCCTCCCTCTCCACACCCTCGGCTTCCCTCTACCTCTCAGCTCTCTGCAATTTTGTTTTGTGGCGCCAATTTGTTGATTCATGTGTTCTCTGCCTCCCAAGATATGTGTAAGTTGTTCAATTGGCTGGGTCTAGATCCAAGCAGGGGCGGGGGGGTGAAAGAACAGGTGGGGGGTGATGGGTCCTCCCCCAGAAAATGTTTGGAAACTTGCTGGTTCCAAATCGAGTTCACCTCTCATAAATCAGAAAACCTGACATATACCAGTGTTGGAAATGAGCAGCTGTCCCATATTTTTATATTATTCACGATTTAATTCACGATTAAGATTTCTGATGAGCTAGAAAACACTGGGATTTGAAGTATGAAACTGAACATTATTGTGCCAGCTAGCCTATACCAGTTGTTGGGATTGATTGTCAGTTCAGATGCAAAATATTGAAAGCAAAAGGTTATACACCATAGATTAATTGGTACCACGCATATATAAGATAGCCGAGTCGGTTTAGAGCAAAGATCGTAGAGTGCACAAGATAAACCACTCATGCGAAATCACGTGCAATGACGTGTTAGTAAGCAATGGAGCGCCACGTCCGCCATTTTAGGAAGCAAAACCCGCTCCGCGTCTGTTTGATACATAGAAATAATATGGATAACCATGGTTAATATATATATATATATATTATAATATAATGTAATAGATAATATTTTTTATGGCTCAATGAGCTGTATCAAATCTCTCATTCAAGTGTACAAAAATCTAACAATGATTCATAATCGGATGTTACTATGTAGTATATGTACACAGTGCAGTGGTGTAGTGTCAGACAGTGGTACAGTGCACAGGCACTTCATTGGACCGTCTCAAACAAATAATGGTAATTAAACACTAAATGTATCTACTATCAAAGTATTAATGTTTCTCTACTCTATTTCGCCTATTATTGTCGATAACTTGCTGTAAATGCCGTTTAAATGCTCATCTGCAACACACAAGTAGTGAAGTACACCGCACGTACGACCTGTGCACAAACAACACTGCCACTGGTACTACATGTATCAACAAAGATTGCACAACTCTTTCACGATGGATTTCGACAAAAAAGAATGTTTTCTCACCTTTCCGTATTCTTGGGGAACCTGAAGAAAGACAGGTCGGGCTTACACTGACAATTCGAGCAATTTACAGCAGAACAGTAAGCTGAGCTGACAGCACACAGCAGACAGTTGCACAGTAGCAGATACAGCAGCATCCGGGAACTTTGTGTGAACTTGCTTCCTAAAATGGCGGTTGTGGCGACCCATGACCTACTACGCTATGATTGGAGAGTGGTTTATCTTGTGCCTACGGCACTCTACGATCTTTGGTTTAGAGTTAGTGTTAGGGTTAGGAATAGGGTTTCTTTGTTCACTGAATTTGTTGTCCACCGGACAATGTCTCAGATTGGTTAGGTTGTCCGGCGCAAATTCTGGTTGTCTCGGACAACCGGACAACGCTTATTTCGAGCACTGTTACAGGTACTAGTCTATATAGCTCAACACCAATCCATGTGGTGACAGGGGAAGACCATCCACCCCTCCCTTGAAAATTCAGGCTGCCTACTCACCAGCGCAGCTGAATCATTTCAATTCAAATATGGCTTTGTGATTTCATCATGCAAACATCTGCATTCAATAAAGGAGCCAATTTCGTCATGTTATGGTGGTTTAAATGTAAATTGCTAGCTGCATGGCCGGGTAAACAATAAAAGTTTATATTGTTGGCTAGAGTGAATTTTTATTGTGCCAGTGGCCACAAAATACAGCATTGCTGGCTACGCTGTAAACATTCTTCTCAGATTCTCATCATAGGTTATAGTAGGCCTATAGCCCTGTAGCACTAGCAGGGGCAAAGGGACGTTTCTTTTTGATATATTTATATTGCTACCCAATTTTACACATGTGCCAATTGTCACGTGAGAATCAATGATCATAGATAGTTTTGAGTAGTCGTTGTACCCTTCACTTGCTCTACATGTTCTGCCTTCTTTCATCCGCTACCTCCTCACTCCTTTTACTGCTATCCTTCTTCTATACCTCTGAACGTCCCACAATGCTACCTCCTCCACAGCTTGCCCTACTTTACCATACCTGTTCCAAATTCTCCTCTACTATCAGGGGTCGAAATTAGCGGTATCCCGATATCCGCGGGATACCAGATTCTTGTGTTGGATACCAGATTTCAATGCTTGGTATCTTGCCAGGATAGTAAAAAAAATCGTCAAAATCGGGGTAGTGGTTGTTGAGTTATCAACTTTATACGGCAGCGCATCTGAGCGAGTGCGCGCAGAGCGCGAGTGCGCACCCTTTAACTATGCCCAGAGTAGCGTTATACACAGCAGGCATAGCATATTTGCAAGCGCAAGCGTGGCCGATGTTGATAAACATAAATGTGATGTGTATACATTGTACCGAGCGAACCAGACAATGCGTCTAGACAATACGTCTGCAGTGTAGTGTGGAGGCGTATGTAAAATGAACGCGAGCAACATTTGGCGTAAACATTTGGCAATTTTATGACATGGGGTGAATTTTATTCGCAATACCTATATACCTTTAATGATGTAGTTATTAAATACCGGCTTATAACAACGCTCAACGGCGCGTTGAACTACAATTATGATATCAGGCGATCATTACATCGCTCGCCTAATCCGGACCGTGCCGCCAGACTTTCTATTGGGGGGGGGGTTCGTTTTTTCAATGTGGCAAATTTGCTTCGGCAGGGGCGTGTACAGGATTTGTACCAGGGGGGTCTAAACCGTAACCACTAGTGTCGCCGAGATGCGAAGGGGCGGTCTGGGGGAAACGATTTTTTTAAATTAGCACCCCCCTAGATGCGTTTCCGCGCGAGCAAGGGGGGTCCGGACTCCTGGACCCCCCCTGTACACACGCCCCTGCTCGGCGCGAAGCGACAGGCAAGGGAGCCAAGCGACCGAGCGGGGGAGGGTGTGGAGGGGGGTGTTCACTGTTCACCCTCGCCCAACGATGGAGATTTTTGCAATTATACACTAAAATGGAGCGCCTGAGGTGAAATTCATTGCAAATTTTCAACAAAAAAATTTTTGGCTTGGGGGAGGGGCTCGGGGGGGGTTCGTTCGAACACCCCGAACCCCCCCTGGCTACGGGCCTGCCTATGGTACTGGTAGGATACGCGACTGTTTTGCCAATGCTTATTTTCAAATGCTATTATTGAGATACTAGCTGCTATATAATGCTACTATTTCAAGATTTTGGATACCAACATTGTTGAAATTACTATCCCAAAAATGGGATAACAGATCTTTGGGGGGGGGGATATCAGATTTCAATACCTGGTATCCCGAATGGATACCAAAATAAAAATATAATTTCGACCCCTGACTATAGCTAATATATTTTCTTCCTCTTCTTTATTTCTTCTAGCTTTTTCCTTTCCTCTAATTCTTTTATTTCATTCATTCACGCTTCTTCTCTTCTTGCTCTACTTTCTTTACATTCTCCCCTTCTTCTTTTCCCCCTCCTCTACACCCTCTCTTATACTTATTATACACTTTTTCCTCCTTTATCCAGATTCTCTTCTTCTCTACCTTTTTTCTCCGCTCATCTACCTTAATTCACTCTACTCTTTCTGATATGTTTCATCTAATTGATTTTGTAAGTTGATAGCAGATGGCAGCACTGCTGTGTTGATATAATTTAATTAACCAATTAAGTGAGATTTGTGGGTAAAACAAAATTAATTACCTGGTGTCCTTATGCTAAAAACCATTTCGCTCCTTGGAGAGTATAGGTCACACTTATAGTAATGTTCAACTAAACATTTTTGTATGTGGCATAGTTATAATGTGATACAATTGTTAATAGTGTTGAATTGATCCTTTAAAATTTCCTTAGGAACTAACAGAAATGTTCAACTTCTTACCAGTTGCATTTATTTTGGGCGTAGTTCACATTGTCTTTTATATATTGATCATACATTCCAAACCATGATTATAATTCATCAATAATTATAATGTTTTGATTTTATTGCAGGCCGATATGTAAAAAAATTTATGATCGCGGTGGAACACTAGACACATCTGCATTCCCTTTCATTGCTGCTACGAGCAGGTATAGAAACAAACTTACAGAAGATTTTCATAGTTGATCTCCTATATTAAATCTTTAGATTATATAGGTGTATTTGCTTTTGTAATCATATTTTTACCAGTTAACATTAAATTGATTTAAGTTGATATGTATTTCTATGTATTGATAGGTAGGACCATTTTAAATCGATTGAGTAGGTTTTTGTGTTTAGTGGTAACATATATGTAAATGTACTCTGCTTACATTGTGCTTGTTACAGTTGTATTCTATGGTTAAAATATGGAATCATGAAAGATGACTGGACTATGATAAGTGTCAATGCTGCCGGCATGATTATGCAGTCATCTTATGTGATCTTCTACTATTCATATTGCAGTAACAAGGTATATGCAAATAATAATATGTATATTTATTAACATTTTCCCAACTTTATCAAACTGAACTATAATATCTAATGTAGTTTCCATCTTTATCACACATGTTGCATTCTCACACAAATCTCACGTATTGTTTGTAGTTAGTTTTGGTTTTATTTGTTTAAATATTAATTAGTAATCATTAATATCAATATTTAATATTATTTCATGTTATTTAATAATGAAATATTGATTTTTAAGCAATGTTGCTGTTTGTAATTTGCTACTATATTGTTTGTGCTGCCGCAATGAGTAATTGGACAAGTTGCTTCTATCCGCACTTCATTTTGTGTGCAATTACATCAGTTTTGAGACAGTATAGAGTTATTGTAGACGCATGCTATGTTATATATGTCTCTATCACGTAATGCTTAAAGCTATTCAAATAGCCAACAGATAATAAGCTCAGTCTATGTTCATGTCTTTGTTTAGCAAACACTGCACAAGCAATTGCTTATAGCAAGCTGCCTTGTGTTTCCATTGCTCTTCTACACCAAGTATATTGTTAGTGATTTCTACACAGCTCTATATCAGCTGGGCCTGGCTTGCTGTACAGCTGGCCTTATCTTCTGCGCATCACCCTTGGAAAAAATGGTAAGGTTATGATTAAAAAAATCGTTGTTTGGCCTCACCCGACCCAGGCTGAAAAGTTTGGGTAGGTAGGTCGGCTTTTTTTGAGGGCGGGGGTCTTTTTACAAATTCAGCATGGTGTCTACATGCTCGGGTGTGCTTGTGTGGAGATACCTTTTATGTTGAATGTTTGTTTTGCTTAGTACATATAATGTATTGCTTACAGATTTATATAATGTGTAGTGATACAATATGTTAAAAAAGAAAAGAAAAAGATCAATAAATTTTTTTTAGTCGGCCCCTTTTTGGCGGGTCGGTCGGGTGAGGGCAAACAAGCAATATTTTCATTATGGCCCAAGTGCTTCATTGTACTGTGAGTCAAAGCAGAGATTCTTTAATCAATTTGTTTCTCTATGTAATTATGATAAACCTAAGTTTTTAAAATGCAAGTAAGCTGGAAGTTATATGTATAAAAATATCACATAATTCACTGGCATTTTAGCAATGGTCTTTATCCTGATTTGCATTACTTATTATCTGAGGTAGAAATGGTATAATTTCTTGCTGCCAAAAGGCTAATGATTATACCTACAGGCTTGTAGCATTGCTAAACACAGCCTGTTATCGAAACCAGTGCAATACAGCTGCTGAAGGCATTTACTTTGCGAATTGAGTCAAAGGAGCAATAATAAGAATAATAGATCAATCTTGGTTAATTTTTACTCAACCATGTTGATCAAAACGTACTACTGACGTTTCACCTCCTATCAGGAGGCTTTCTCAAAGCTGACTGAAGTTATCAGGTTTGACCAAAATGATAAATTTGGTCAAATCTGATAACTTCAGTCAGCTTTGAGAAAGCCTCCTGATAGGAGGCGAAACGTCAGCAGTACGTTTTAATCAACACAGTTGAGTAAAAATTAACCAAGATAATTCTATTATCTACCAACCGAATGAACTTATTTATTGAATAATAATAATGATAATAATAATAATCCACTTGTTCTTTCATTTCCAATTTCAGTCACACGTAATACGAACAAGGAGCACAGATTCAATGTCATTTCCATTGTCCTTTGTGACTTTCTTAGTCTCCCTTGAATGGTGGTTGTATGGATACTTGGTGCATGATTACTTCATACAGGTATGCTTTTAATATTGATTCGAAGCTGTGTAATGATGTAGTACAGTGCTGTATGTTATCAGGAGTGAATAATAATAGAAGCGTATGACTTGCTCGAAACACAAGAAATTCAACGTTTCCATGCCCAAATTTACCTATGATTTATTACATGAAATCCAATAAACATGACATCAGAACTAGCACTGTACATCCAACTTGTCCTCACACTTTACTGTGTATCGATGCCTCTTAGTCTTATTATGTAGTTATAGCTTCGAACGTCAGACGTGGTTTCACTTATTTACACAGCCAAGTGACTGTCAATCTCGGGTGTCACTTTCCGCCGGGCGTAGAGGGAGGGTGCCGCTACGTGGCAGCACTAGTCACTTTCCCCGGGCGTAGAGGGAGGGTGCCGCTACGTGGCAGCACTAGTCACTTCGTACACTTCTGTCATTCCACAGTCATACTTCCATGCTAGACATGGCCTTATTTCCCTAACCCTAACCCTAACCCTAATCCTAACTCTAACCCTGACCCTAACCCTAATCCGAACACTAGTGCAGCCACGTAGCGGCACCCTCCCTCTACGCCCGGGGGAAAGTGACACCCGTCAATTCCACGCTGTAAGCGCAAACAAGAGGCAGCTTGCTCTGAGACACCTGTTGGTGGGGTTAGGCAGGGGGTTAGAGCCAGCGTTCGGTGAGGGAGCCCGCACACATGATAACACGCACGTCTTTGCGAGTTGCAAATCCCTGCCGAACCCTGCCAACAGGTGTCTCAGAGCAAGCTGCCTCTTGTTCACGCTTACAGCGTGGGATCGACAGTTGCTTGGCTGTGTAAATAAGTGAAACCACGTCTGACATTCGAAGCTATAACTACATAATAAGAAGAGGTATCGATACACAGTAAAGTGTGAAGACAAGTTGGATGTATAGTGCTAGTTCTGATGTCATGTTTATTGGATTTCATGTAATAAATCATAGGTAAATTTGGGCATGGAAATGTTTAATTTCTTGTGTTTTGAGCGAGTCATACTCTTCTATTATTATTCACTCCTGATGTTATACTATTTGCCCTGAATAAGAACTCTGTGCATCACAACTTTCCCATGAAATGTTCTATATCTAATAACACGTACGAGCCTAATATTGTGAATACATTGATTTCGTAGTTAGACTGTAGGACTAGACGTTACATTCTCTAATGTATGTGGGGATAAGCAGCTGTGATTTTTAAAGGTATAGTTGGGGGTTATTTAAATGGATAATGACCTAGGTCAACGTTTTTGCCTTATATCCAATAATTGGATTTAACAGCAATAATGCTTATAAATTAAAAGCTGAAACATACAGCTGGCAATGTTACATTCTATTCTATATTCTGCTAGGTACCAAACTGTATAGGCACATTTCTAACATCAGTGCAATTGGTCCTGTTCATCAAATATCCAAGCAAGAGGACTGGCAATCATTTAAGTCGAAGTGCGAGTGAACCGTCCATCAACAGGGCCGATGTTTGAGCAACAAACTATAAAACGCAAGTGGATTCCCTTTAAATTAAAAATTATAGGATGGGTGCATTAGACTGCATCACCTAGAGCTATGTTCAGGACCAGTTATTTGGATGCTGAAAGGTGTAGCAGCATGTAGTCATGTGCGTACTGTCATTGTTCCTGCTATGGGAGGCAAGTCGTGGAAAAGTGGGTGAAGCTTTTCTTCACTGACATCATGCACCCCTTGTTACATTTTAATAGTTACTAATTTGTAGGTAAAGGGTGTATTTTGAGAAGTGTGGCTGTACTTTATTCCATGTTCAGAATTGCATAAAATAGTGCTCCTAACAAATACATGTATTTTGTGTATATACATATAGCATATATAATATTGAGATGTTAAAGTGACATAACTAAACATATTTATTGTATATGATTAGTTCAAAATCAAATTAAATTTTAAGTATCACATATCAAACATGTGGTGGTGGTGCACACATAGACATTTTAATGCATCGTATATATTTTTATTGTACAATTGAAAAATAGTTATTATGAGGTTCTTGCTCACATCCATTAAAGATTCTCGTGTTTGTTTTTTATATTGTGGCAGAAAACATATTTTTGTGTATTATTGCAATGTGTAATGGTGACAATGTCAACAAGGTTTGAATTACATTATATTAGTTCGTTGCTAACTTGGTTTCGTTCGTGTTATATGAAAGATGAGATGGACAGTGAGGTTATTGCAAACAAATTACTTTGCATACGTCGTATGTTCGTGGTCTTCATTCTTGCATATAAATTGATGATGCTATACGAGGGTGTGATCTCAAAAATGACAGGCAGTAACTGTGGCTGATAGGGTCTATGTCTCCCTGGGTACTGCCAGACCGTCGCCGCTTCCTGCCAACAATCGGTCAAGGAGGTTCAAAACAGGGTATACGGTTCGGAGTAGGTGGTTACGGTCCGGTATACCAGATAGTTACCAGGCTATGGTCTGGCAATACCCAGGGAGACATAGACCTTAGCGTAACTGTGGACTTCTATATTGGCTTATCGAGTTAAACATATTACGATGTTGAGCATGAAGGTCAGGGTTAAAAAACAGCGTGTTAAATTGTGAAAGAACGAAGGAAAGGGCGTTATTTAGTGACATTTATTTCCATGTTCCATGTGCGGAAAAGTTGGAAAAAGACCAGGTATGTGTTAAAATAAAGCGTTTAATTTCTACATTTGTATTTCATGTAGCTAAAAACCAAATGACTAGAGCTTAAATCACCTTTGCATGGAGAGGAATTCAAATCATATATCTTGCAGTGTCCCATCGTGTACCTCTTGGGAAGGATGTAAATCCAATGTTTTGGTTGATGTCTGAGCACGCTATATTTTTGACAGTGAATGTTGCTACATTATAAACCATGGGAATGATAAATTAGACAATTGCCTGCTTATTCATAAACATGTTTGCAAAACGTATTGCCCCATGCACCATATTACGGGTATTTTTTTACAACTATGAAAAAATATCACTAAATTTCTACGTCGGCTTTGGTAGTTCTAGCATTGTCAGTCAGAGAGGCCATCATTCTGTTGTTCCTCTTCCATCAGCTCAATCCTACTGGTGACGGATTCTTTTCTTAACTCACGCAATCTCTCCATCTCTGGTCGCTTAAAGAAGTTGCACTGAAATGAAAGTATTTCATCAGTTATTGTACTAGAATCGCTGCCTGTCAATTTTATATTAATGGGCTCTTGATATCATGATACATTTTATCTTTGTTGTATAGTTTATTGCTGCAAACTGTTATTTAATTCAGCATAATATTATATGATGATTCATCGCATAATAGCGCCTGCTTAGCCTAACCCAGGTTGTGTATTTGTGTCTGTGTGCGTGCGCGCACACCTGCCTGTCTGGTGTATACGTGGGTGTGCGGGGATGCGTGTTAGTGTGATAGATAGCTTATAATACACATACATTGAAATGGTTTGTTGTGTATTTAAATCTACGATTAGCATGCGTTCCTGCGTAGGATAGGACTGCGTATGAACGCGGGTGAGCGTGGTTCGATGCCTGCTTATCTGGTAGTTATTGAGTCTCAGTTATTGTGTAGTTGTCTTACTTTGACTAGTATAAAGATGATGATAATTAGCGCAAGCAGTGCAGCTCCCACACCGACGCCAATCACTACGCGCTTGTCGAATGCTGCCAGCCCTACTAACTCCACCGTGTAGTTTAAAATCGTGGTGATCTAAAATATAATAAAATAAGCACAGTCGTCACTGTTACTTTATTTATAGTAATTACCTTTGATTTTAATTGTGTTTCTTTCAGATGAAAGTTCACCGTACTGTTTCTGATTAACAGGCGAATTCTTTTCGGGTTATTTATATGTTGTCATCGATGCGGTCAATAATTAATTAGTCATGTAAATTTTAACAGATTCTTCATTAACCTTCTAGTCTACAAATTACAATCGATATAGAAACATGTAAACAGTATGTTACTGGATGGACCCATTTGAAGTAACCTTGTGTATTATTTAATTTTGATATTAATGTCAATAAACACAATTGGTGGCTTTTGTCACAGCACAGCTGAATGGAAGTCCAAATATATAACTGGTGAAATCATGTTGTTAAAATGGACGTGTTATACCTTTGCTGTGTCTGGGAGATGATGGTCAGGTTGAATGATGTTGAACCCGGCTCCGTCTAGTATTACAGCTGCTTCACTGATATAATTGATTTCTGATATTTTGGCCTATAGTTAATTAAAGATAGTTATGTTATAGGTGTCTTACACGGATTGTGCAAATATTTGTATATTTGTATTATGGGACGCATCTGATATTACTAAACAATAACGGGGCTATATCTATCGGGGGACAGTTGCCCCTAGACCAGTTTATATATTATCGCGTGGCCATGGGCGAACTGTGCATGGTCAGTTGCCAAGGACAACCCGCTTGTGGCTTTGGCTCCCTGGACAAATGAGTTGGCCACGTCTGGCTAGTCTGTCTGCCACAGTCTGGCATAGGCTAATGAAAATTATATACATGCCCGTCTCCTTACTTTTAGTTTTTCAATGTGATCAAGCATCAGTTCCATGTGTATGGCAATGTAGTTACTTTCTCCAGCATCCAGACTGCTTATGTCACACGTGATGCGAATGCAGCGCACGACGTCGCATCCCTACATAGATGATCGAATATCAACGTGACAGGCAGCGGTCTGCTGCTTTTACCAGTATCCGTATATATGTTATCAGGAGTACATTAATAGCGGGAAGAATAGAATATAAAAATTATATATATACATACATATATATATATGAGTATAAATGATTAGGCCTCCCGATCTTATAATAATCGGCTATTATATACGATTATCCGCATCGTTCTGTTTCCATGACTTTTTTTTTCCAAATTCTCCATTAGCTGAAACTATCTATCCAGCGACTATGGTCTTGTTCAATCTTACCACTATAGTATTTCCTATGTAATGCATCAGATAAAAAGTGAAAGCGTTCAGTTCAAACACTCGAGCAGAAATATAGTTGGTATAACCACCATTCGGCCATCTTTACCAGTGTGACTATCCGACTTCCAGCAGTGTTTAACTCGTGCGCTTTATCTTCGTCATGGTCATCATTGATTAAGTTTCGATGACCGTTCTCGCTGTTTGCTCGCACTTTGTAGTGAATGTATCGTTTATGGCCTACACACGTCACGGGCGTCGAAGTGAAGTTATTATTTTTCATCTGCAGTATATAATTATTTATTATGGTCATGCAATACACAAGGAAAAGTTCCCAGTTTGCACAGTTACAAGAGTGTGCTATACCCAACATCTCAGTTCACGCTGTATATTTCGATCTTTTCTTGCCGCTCAGTTCATTTGAAATTTCTGAATACGATTTCCTAATTACAGAACTAATACATGTTGAAAATAAAAAGCCCCATGAGCTGTATAAAAATTTAGATGTATTATGCTTCATGGTAAAAATGGTGATGGTTTCACGCTAACGTTAATTCCTAGAAGGATATCACGAATCGCGTCAGGAAAAAAGTCTAAACTAATAGTAAAAGGCATCGTTTTTCTCGCTAACAATGAAGCTTACAGACATTTCACGCCTCGTGCTATAGTCGAGCAGCAACCTCTCAACTCATTACTGATAGTTCCTCAGGTATTGCTTGCCAAGATTTGGAAATATATCGTCTGACCTGAACACCTCGTAGTATGATTATCTGGTGCTCCACTCCAGATGCATAGAATGGAAGTTTTATGACAACCTGAGACATGTTCACCGATGTTGGGCCATTGTTGTGCACCTAAAAAGGATTGAAAACATCTTGTGCATTTCATTCACTGGAATACGGAGGTTCCGTGTAGTTTGTTCTTCTTAGTTTCTGCAATTTGTTTTCGTGGAGCTATTATAACGTCTTTGAATTAGACGGTGCTCATTGATCCCAGTATCGGTAAGAAGTATCGTTATGCGTTATGTCGAGCTGGTGGAATTGATCATGAGAGAAGGAATAGTAAGCAGTGATCCTCACATCAAATAAGTGAGTGATGTTGCGCTGGTTACTGCTGAAGTTACTGCCAGCTGTGTTGTCTATGGATAGCTGCTCTGGAATGGAGATACTGAAGCAAAGAAAGACAGATCCATTTCGAGATACGCTTACGAAAGACACCCGCGTGCGTTGTTAATTTTACCATTCCGTATAGGTGATACTTGGTGTGATATGTTTCGTGTTTTTCCATTACCTACCCCGAGGCAGCCATGTCGACTAAATATTGAAGGTGTATCGTATGGCTGACATTATTGTCGAATGTCGTTGCATTTTCTTCTGTGCTAGCGGTAATCGCGTTCAGTTCGATCACAGCTTCACTTGGGTATGAGCCATGTTCCGTTGCAAGCTCTATCTCCATCAGGCACTCGACCTAAGATACAATTATCAGCCGTCATTCTCATAGGTGGCGGTGGCGGCTCTGTAATACTGTGCCTACTCCACCAGGTAATGGTGAATCGCGTATAATACAGGTAACGTTGCTAATCCCAGCAGCCCCATAACCCGGCTGCCATTAATAACGATCAAGAGTAGATAATATATATTATCTACTCTTGTTATATTATCTACTCTTGATAACGATGCATATTTATTATCGTTGTGGTAATAAAGGTTCACTCCAGACATCAATATTTCCTTATGAGTGAGGCGTTTCCACTAATCGCGTGGAACCATGTTATAACAGAACATGTTTTACCGTCTGTCCGGAGATGAGTGGGTTTCCAGCAAGACAATACGTGATAGCCTTAGATTTGTCCCCCAGTGGCGCCATCATTTTTTCCACCTGTTCTTCATCATCATCTAGCTGGTCTGATTCCTCGTCGCCTTCGTCAGCGACGTTGAAGTCCAGGATGCACGTGACTGGAACCTCCAACAGTTATCAGGACTGGTTAGCGAGGCGATTTTGCCGTTAACATGCATACATGCGCGGACGCACGCACATTCTTACATACGCGCGCGCACGCATCCACACACATCATTTACTTGTGTCCCATTTTATTCTTCTCAAAGAGAGATTCCACCAGGTGCACAGCACTGATTCAATAATAAACTGCATGCTTACCTGGCCGAATGACGTCACACGACCGATAGTGAGTGCTGTAGATATCGCGAGCACGAGCATTGTGTTGTAGGCGTCTTCCCCGTCGTTACGTAGCGTCACGCGTATACTGAAGCCCGTGTCTCTGCCAGCCGTCAGCTGCAGCCGCTTCCGCCGATCTGCGAACTCGACTGTACTATTTAGTACCAGATCCGACACGCACATGCTATCGGACCCGCAGTCTCGTGTAAAAAACACCTGTATGTATGTGAAGCAATATGTGAGACAATGCTTAAAAAACGCGGCAATTCTAAATAGCGGCAAATAGATTTCGTAGTCGCGTTAATGGAGTTAACGTAGCGGCAGATTGCAGGAGTTTTTCTGTCACAAAATATCCGATTTGGTCGTTTGATTGCCATGTTTTTTTCTCTACGTTTCTGTTTGTGAGAGGAGGTGGAAAAGAGCTAATTGCAACCTAAACAAACTCTCTAATTGCAGGAAACTAGCCGTGATATATATATATATAAAATATATCTATATCAGACACACCCCACGTAATATACGCAGCCTATTTTGGGTCACGTTTCTCAATTTTCTGCTCCTTGCTCATTCTCTACCCCTCGCTATATACTTCGTCCCTTTACTAACTCCTCTGCCCTCTATGGGCCTCTGTTTCCAATATTTCCTCCCCTTCTTACCATTTCATACTCCTCACCTCGGCTCTCCACCGACTCCTCCGCCTTCTCCCCTCCTATACCTCATAAAGGTAGTTCTACCCCCTAACTCATACGTTGGTGCTTAATACAGTTTCAGCATTAGCATCTGGGTTCCCTTAGTAGACGTCGCGTGGCTCTAACACATAGAGAGGTGGATGAATGGATGGATGGAGGATCGATGTATGTATGTATAGATGGGTGGATGGATGGACGGACGGATGGATGGATAGATAGATAGATACATCTAGATAGATAGATGGATGGATGGATATACAGATTGATTGATAGATATATAGATAGATTTACATCGAATCACAGATGATCGTCCGTTTTCAGAGTGAGAATGTTTAATTAGCGAGATTGGTTACCCTTTTTATGAGTGAATTCGGCTTATTCGCGTCCAGCATGGGGCACACCGTACGGCAGGGCGGTTTCGTCTGTTGCGTTAGCTCGTAACTCACGGAGAACACTAGAGCATTCAAGAGATCCTGGGTCTCATTCTACAAAACGACATGATGTAAAAATTTCGCAATTAAAATTAAAGATGGTAACACGGGGGAAATGTTCAGTAAATAATACATTGTAATAATACTATATGTATTATTAGCTCCTGATTTCACGTATACCAGCAGGGTATATCTGACCTATATGAACAGTGCAGAGGGATGATCAGTCGATAACAACCATTCATTACCAACTTGGCACCTGTCCGCGATGAAGGTGCTCAAAAATAAGTGTGTGACCATATTCTGCACCATGGTTGGCAACCACCAGAGACCAGCTCCAATGATGGTTGGAACCCCTGTAGCTAGCCAGCTGGCGGTGCCTCGCATCGACGAACGTACTCTCAGGGAACACCCAGAACTTACGTGTTCGTTGTCACACACAACAGGGAAACTTTAGAGAGACGACAAGTACGACAGCTGAACAACCAACGTCAGTTTAGAAACTTGCTATAAATGAGAGAGGTTGGTCAATAGAGCGTCATTCACATGATCACTGAATTACCCTTGTCGAAGTAAAAAAGAGATCGTGTATATATCACAGCAAATAACTTATAGACCTACAGTGGGCAGGCGGGCACCGAGCGGAGTTACCTTGACGACGTGTATGTGATAAATTAACTTGAGTGAGTCAATGTTGGCCGGTAAGTTCGTTGGACTTACGTTGATATGCAGTGTATGGGTCGCACACGATGCGGGTTTGGTATTATTGACCATTATCTGTTCTGTTATGGTGTTTGTCCACTGTTTCCCGTCATGAAATGTCGCTCTGGGTATAGCAGAAGTGCGATTGTAATTCGCGTCGCTTGTCACCGTGTATTCCACACCTTAAGCAGATTTAAAATACGCGTAAGGAATGTAATGCGGCAGCGCGATACATTCCAAACACTTGGCATTCACCAGGGCTGAGGTTATAAGGTGATGTTTTTTTCACATCTATCAGAATTATAGCATCGGTAAAAACCATATAACAAGAATTAATTATCATCATTATACATCATTATTATTATCATCATTATTATTATCAGAATTATTATTATCAGAATTATGCATCAGAAAGACGCCATTTTATATAATATTTGTAATTATTCATATCCATCATCTATACCATGTGCGACTAATTTAATGTCTTTTTCATAAAACTGGAAGCAGATCCGAATTTCCAGATTTGATCCAACACTGTCAGACAAATTCCGTGGAATCCATTCCGGGTTAAACGCAAGTGTTGCCTGCATGGCGATAATAGGCCTTGCTCTGGAACGAGAATTTGAAAACCAACGTATGCTAGCTGTTGTAGATGAGATCTTTCGTCAAACTATTCCTAAGACATTCAAATATTGGGTAGGATATATGTAGTTTTTGGTAAGTCCATTTATTTACAGTCTAACTGCGTACTTTAGTAGGATAGCCTGATCACTCTCGTATGCTCCAACGGCGATATCCGGGTACAGATTGTTATCGATGTCCAACCCGCGTGACAGTGACCATCCAAATGACCTCGTCACAGGACTGATATCCTCTCCGCCTATTCTCTACAACGCAATATATATATATATATATATCAGGAGTTAATAAAAGACAAATTAAAAAAATTAAACAAAA